GCTTGCTGCTGTGTGACTCTGGTCAGTTCATGCCCTTCTCTGGGCTTCAAGCAGAAGCGTGCCTACTAGCACATGGAGTTAAAAGGGACAGAAGGCAAGTTGTGAGCAAGGCAAACAAACAGCCACGCCAGGGCAGCAGGGCTGTGTGTGAAATGGCTTTCTTTTAATTTCCTCTTATTATGCTATAAAGTTGATTTAATAATAAAAACATGCTGAGGACTTTTTAATGTATAATTGCTTACATATTAAAAATTATATGAAAATGTTTTCAATTAATGCTTCTGTGATTCATCCTGTGAGATGACACTTTGAACAATTTTATACAGGATGGTGCCAGGTGTAGGGGCGGGAGTCACACCTGAAAAGGAAGCCAAAGTAACTGTAAAATTCCCAGTTACTTCTGCAGATCCTCTGGGAGTCCTGGACAGACACAAGAGTTTTAGCTGCAGGTGAGGGCTCCAGAGGGCACTGCTTTTCCTGGTTTTGCTGCTTATTTATTAACCTTTCTGAGACTCAGTATTCTCATCTGTAAAATGGGGGGGGGGGGTTGATCGTAATACCTAGACCTCACAGGCTCCTTGGAGGATTAAATGAGCTAATCATAGAGCAGAGCCTGGCACACAGGAAAGCCCTCTGAAAAAAACTAACCACCACTGTCCCTGTCATCAACACCAGTCCCTGTCACCAACACCACTGCGGCACCTCTGAGAATTCCTGGGGCTGAAGGCCTGGGGAGGAAAGATCCCAGGTGAGAAATATTCTGTGCCTTTAGGCTAACTAGGGCCTCATGATCTGATCAGTCTTTACAAGCTCTTGCCCCACGTGCTTTTCCTGTCGGGATCCTATCAGAAGCCTCATCTCCCGCCACTCCTCTCCAGCAGAGAGTTCCCACGCCTCCGTAACTTTGCTCAAGCTCTTTTCTCTGCCTGGTTGCCAGCTCTCATCACCACCCATTCTACCTCCCACCCCACTCAGATGGCCCAGACTGGAAGCTGCTGTCTCTTCTCTGAACTCCTGGGGATTCACCAGCTCACCTCTGCATACCAACCAGCCCCTCTACCCGTGTTCCATGCCTGTCTCCCTGCTTCATGGATATTCCTGGAGGCAAGGGAGGTATCTGCCCAGGTTCCATGGTCCAGACTCCAACACAGCAGGGCTTGGCAAGGGCCCCAGCGGAGACTGGCCAGAGGATTTAACAGCACAGAAAACAATGTGAAGGACCAAACAGACCCTCTGCACCCCCAACAGCAACAATGTCACACACATGTGCAAAGCTTGTTCTTCTACCCAAGCCTCACATCAGTGTTACATGCTCTATTTACAATGAGGACACTGTGGCCTCCAAGAGGCTACACATCCTGACCCACCCAGGCACCCAAGTTAGCCTGACTTGGAACCCAGCAGCCTTCCCACCGCATCAGCAGGTCTCTGTGCATCTGGACCCCTCAAGCCCCAGGATCAAGACTCAGGGAAGAATTAAACAATGGGCTGCAAAGCAGGGCTTTAGGGAGAGGCTAATTCTATTGGCTCAACGGGTGGTTTGGCATGGGGGCACCAATTACACAGACACTGGGGCAGGAAGGAAACCCAGAAGTGGTATGATTCTTCCTCTTCAATTTACACGTGGAAAAGGCCAAGACCAGAATCTGACCTCAAGTGATAAGCCAAGGATGATGAAAAGGGGAACTGGGACTGAACAGTTGGCACGAGTCAGGCTGGCACTGAGAAAGGAAGCTGCCAGTGCTAACCAGATCCTCTCCTACTCAGGTGCTCCCTTCACGGGGCTGGTGCTGGGTGTCTAATGATGGGGTGATGGGGCAGGACACAGTGAATCATGACATCCTGGAGCTCAAAGTTGACACAGACTGGAAAGGTCGCTTGAGCCAACCACGCATCTGAGACTTAAATACCTTCATCTCCCAATGCTGGTTGTCTTGCCTCTGCTTGGATGCCTCCAGGGATGGGCAACTCACTGCCTCACAAGACAGCTTCACATTTAATTGGTGGGCTAAAAAAAGTTCTCAAAAGAATCATGACTTTTTTGAGTCTCAGTGTCCCTACTTATAAAAAGGGAAGCCTGGACTGGGTCACTAGCTTTCTAACCGGGTTCCATAGAGCCCTAGGGTGTTATGGAGATATTGCCAGAGCGGCTGCTGGAGTGAGAAAGGTGATGAGGGCACAACGTAAGGCCCAGGCAGACATGGGTTCTGAGGTTCCATAGAGAGCTGAGCCTCCATTTTGGAGCCAGAGCCTAATTCCTCTGGGTGACACAAAGAGGAGCCCGGGAGAGAGAGTAAGTTGAGGCAGACAGAGGGGAGGGGGTCAGAGGAGCCCCTGAGAAAACAAGCATGCTTCTCCATGCCCTCCATACAGCCAGTGGGCTGGGCCGAGTTCTCTGTTCACAAAAGCACACCTCCCACCAGCTCCCCATCACCTGCTGCATGGAGCCAAGGACACAGAGAACAAAACCTCATCAGTTAATCACGGGCCGTGTTCCCCATGCTGGGGAGCCTGAAAATCAAGCTGCAGTGAGTGCGCTGGGGCTGGACAGGCCCTGAAAGAAGTCCTGCACGGTGGTTAAAAGAAGGCCTTGGAAGACAGCCCCCCAAATGACTACCCAGCTATGTTGCCTTGGACTAGTTACTTAATCTTTCTGTGCCTCAGTTTCTTTATTGGTAAAATGGGCACCTATACTTCAAAGAGCGATGGTGAGGATCCAATGTCACACCAAGTGCCGTAAACAAGTACGAGAGAACCTAGCAGTGGCCTCCACGCCGCTGCTGTTATTACCGACCCATCACTCCATAAACAGGTGAAAACAGAGGCACAGAACGTGCTGCCAGAGTCAGACAGCCAGCTCGCAGCCAAAAGCAGCTGGAAGTACTATTGACTGCCCACTCTAAGGCTGTGCTTCTCAAGGGGAACTGAGGCCCAGGGGTCACTTTGGTGGCAAGTGGCCATCCCGGATCTGCTTGGCTCAAGCCTGGGCTCCTTCCAAACCAGCACAAGAGAGGCCACGCTCTTCCCAGCAACATTACTCTCCGTACCAAAGATGCCTGCCCAGTTACTAGAAGCTAAGTGCACACATACACATAAGTATGACAGCAGCAAAAAACATCACCATAAGAGACTGAATGTAACTTGTTCCGTGCCACCTCCTGCTCCGCTGCCGACCCCAGCACGGCCTCCTTATCCTGCTCTCCCCCGGGAGCTTCAAGGCAGCTCAGTGAGCTATTTCCTGGAACATTTATGCCGTGCTGGCTCACCCCAGCCCCCATCCCTGCCATCAGTCCTGCGGTGACGGTGACGTTACACACAAAGAATTCCAAGTCAAAGAGAGCTGCCGCAAGGTCATCACAACCAGAAAACGTCCTGTTTAATCACCTATTTCCTTAAAAAACAAAAAAGGTAAAAAAAAAAAGGGGGGGGGGTAAATTTAGGCATAGTCTCCAAGGTAGGAAGAAAGCACAGAGCAGCTATAGAAGAAAGCTTCTTCAGAGAGAGAAAGCCTGAGATATTAACAGATTTCTGGTGAACTCCAACTGCCCTGCCTTGGACCTGGCACCCGTGGGTGTGCCTCATTAAAAAGCCAAAGTCCCATAGGACAGTTCCACCCAGCTAACCATCTCCTCACTGCTGAGGTTCACGGCAGCACCCAGGAGGAGCCTGGCTCCACTCCAAAGAGGCCAGGCAGTGGTGGACACTCCCCAGAGCCTGGGCTCCCGGCAGGTGTCCCAGCCCCACCTCCTTCAGCTCCTTGCCTCCATGTTCTATAGATGCAGGTCTGAGCCTCTCACTTCTACTTGTCCTCAGTCTCCCTCACCTGTGAAATGAGACAACACCTCCTTTGCAGGGACACGGTGAGGTTTAATGAGTGGGTATGTCAAAGGGCCTAGTACAGAGCCTGGGACCTGGCAGGGGCTCCAGCTTCAATGGCTTCTGCCATTTCCTCATGTCCCAGAGACCCCAGCATTAAACATAACATTACACTTTCTTCAGCAAGATACCCCAAAGACTGCCTGCTAAGCACAGGCCACGCTTGCCAGTCTGTCTCCAACTTACTGTGTGTCCTCGGGCAAGTCCCCCCTCCCTCCTAGCCTCAGTTTCCCCATCTGTAAGATGAGGCTGTTGGGTTTTGATGACCTCAAAGATCCTTTGCTGTGCTGACGTATGAATATGTCAGAGTCCCAGAGTCACTCCTGGACCTACCACCCCCTTAAACCTGGGCTGAGGCCCGCTGAATGCAAGACTGGCGGGAGCTACAGGGAGGGCAGGGCCCCGAGGGCTGAGCTGGGCCAGGGCTGCTTCATGGAGCCTGGTGCAGGTCCTGGGACGTGGGTGGAGGTGAGGTGATGTGACAGCGGGAATGAGTGTTACTGCAGGCCTCAGGTGAAGATTCCGCCAGCAGACCTGCTTCCCTGAGTTGCTGGAAGAGAGCAGGCTGCCCCACCCTTAGGTCCCCGGCCCCAAACACACACTCAGCAATTGGCCTCTTGCCCATCAGAGGCTGCTTTACCAGGAGAGACTAGGAAAATGGGAGAGGGCACAAGACGTGGCCCTCCAGTAGTCCGGCTGAAGTCCCTATGGGTCAACTGCTTCCTGCCTCAGCCCTTCACCAAGTGGCCAGGTGTTCTGGAGGCCTCAAAACTGGGGGCCACCTGTCCACACTCTGCAGCACATTGTGCCCTGACTCATGCCCCTGCCTTTTGCGGGGTCAGGGGGGTCCAACCCACACAGCTGCTCCTCTGTGTCCCTATCTTGGTTAACTGCACTTGGTACCCTGGTATCTGGACTGTCAGTGTGCCCTATTAGAGTCTTCCTGAGGTCGGTGAAACATGAACTGATATACTGCAGTGAAGATTCAACAGAGCGCTGCCTCCTTACCACCACTTTGAAAGCACAAACCTTCCCCTGTAGAGGCTGGCAGGGGATGGTGTGAAGGGGCAACCCCTCTACCCAGCTGCTGAGTTGTAAGTCTCTGTGCCACGGGCTCCGCTTACCTGTCATAATCCTCTGGGCCTCGTAGGGCTCCATGTAGCCGGCACTCTCCCCCTTTCCTGCTTTGCTTTTGAGATCATTCTTGGCATCAAAGGGATCTGAGTAGTCATCAGCGATGGTCACCTGCAGGGAAGAAGATGGCAGGGGTGAGTCCACCTGTGGCTTTCTACTTCACTTCTGTTCACAGCCAGGCTTGGCTCCAACAAATATAAATTGAGCCTGCGCCAGACAGGCCAGGAGTCAGGAGCAGAAGCAGGAACCAGAGATGGTGTCCACCCTCAGGGAGCTCTGACTCTCACAGGGGTAACAAAGGGACCCAGGCTGGCAGTGCTCCCTCTCGAGGGAGGGGCCCGAGTCTGGGTGTGTAGGGTGGCCACTCCTGGCACAGTGAAGTGAGAACAGAAGGGCATCCAAGTGGACAAGCACAGAGGCAAGAACCTGGACGGTGTCCTCAGGGAATACGATTTGCTCAATTTAATGGAATGGAAACGGAGTAAATTTGGAAAGGAGCTCACAGAAAGCCTGGAAATGCTGACACGCTCCTGGTGCCAGCTGAGGCAGAGAAGAGCTTGTCTACAGATAATTACGTCCAGCGTTCCATTTTCCCCAAATCTGGAACACAACCATGCCTTGGGTAATCAGACAACAATTTGGTGAGGTCAACGCTCTGCAAAGATGACTGTGGCTCCAGACAGGCCCAGTGAGAACACAAAAGCAGCTCAGGGATGGATGGACAGACAGACTGCCAGGGCAAGAAAGGGCCCTGGAAGCAACACATAGGAAGACCCTCCTATAACAGATGCAGAAACTGGCTCCAGAGCGGGCAGGGCTCAACCCAGACCGTCGGCTGGATGCTCTGCCTCCCAGGACCCTTCCTGGCCTCCTCGTTTGCCTGTATTCCAGAAAACAGTAAAGTTCTACAACAAACAGAGCAGTCACCTGGGGGTAGGCAGTAGGGGCAGCGAGGGGAGTTCCCTGAGAGTGTGGGAATCTGGGATTTGAACACTTCAGAGACAAAGTTCCATTTTCCCTGGAGAAGGGTGAAAGTTCTCGGTAGAAGGCTGAGCAAACACGGCAACTTTTCCTCCCATTTCTTACTTCCTAACCTTCAAGCGGGGCACCTTCACCAAAGGGGAAAGGACAGGAACCTGCCAAACCTGTTCCCTTTCAATGCACACTTGCTCCACCACAAACTCACTGTGACTTCTGCCTCTTTGGTCACACATCTGGCAAAAGGCAAATCCTCAGCCTTCCAGCCAGGGCCACCCAGCTGCCTCTCTTGGGAGGGGGTAGGTTAGCATTTCTCTTAACCCTTGGGGTTTCATGAATTGTTATTTAAATTGTGGGTTTAATTAGAAACCACAGGAGTCTCCGCTCTCTCTCAGCTCTTGGAATGTAAGGCATTTGAGGAGCCTGTAAACCCAGGGGAAGGGAAAAACCCTCTTTGTCTGCTGGGTAAATGGGAGTTTGTGGCAGCAGCCCTGGCAGGGTGAGCGAGTGACCTCCAGCTGCCAGGAACGGGATGCCCGCAGAGGGCCAGCAGGCAGCAGCCCTGTCACGGGCGTGCGGCCGGGGCGGGGGAGGGGGTGACGAGAGGCATAGCACACAGAGTCACTGCTCCTGGGACAAGAGCGGGCGCATCAGTGAAAGACCCAAGGCTGGAGCGCCCATCATCTGAGCATGAGCGGCCCCGCTGCCCCCGCTACACTGCATCTATGCGGCTGTGGGTCAGGCTCTTGAGTCCCAGCAGAGGAACTTTCAGGTACTGACACTGTTGTAATCGTGGCCTTTCTGGAGACTCATTGAGCTCAAATGACACCAGGCAGGGAAAGATGGGGGTGGGGGAGCACTAGGGCCAGCAACGTCTTTCATATGCTATTTTATGCAACCATTTGCAGAATGCATTAGAGAGAAAATCAGACACGTGAACCAGTGTCATACAGAACAGCTCAGATGCCGATCTGGTATAGGGTTTTGTGTCTCGGAGTTCAAGGGGCCAGAAGCGCAATGGAGAAAATGCTGAACCTGCTGTGGGTGACATCTAATCTCACTTCTCTCATCCTGGACTTCCTTACTGTCTCTTTTCAACATGAATACCCTCCATTTAATCTGCAGTGAGGAAGGGAGCAAATATTTCCCCAAGAAAGTAAAATCATTCGGACGGATTAGCTGAGGAGGGTGTTGGGCTGCAGGCTCCGTAATCTAGAAATCAACATTTCAACTCCTCTCGGAAGTGCTCTGTAATTTGCAAACACAGAGGCTTGCAGGATATAAACCAAATCTTTGTTCGCCCTGGGACGGGAGCTCTGGGAGGCCTTCGGTTCAGCAGGCGCTATCTGTATTTTCTAATTAAAATGAGATCTGAGCTCGGCTGTCACAGGGCCCTCCAGCTGCCTGCCCTGCTTACTTCCGTTTCAATAAGAATTTACAAATCCTAAAACCAGGAAAAGCCCCTGGTCTCTGTTGACATATGGTTCCAGTTATACCTGCTGACAGTTGAAAATCCTTCCGTTTAAAAAAAAACTTAAAATTCTGTTAGTTTAAGAAGCAAATCGGAAGGTTCCTAAAATGTATATTTAATCAATTTGCCTTCAAACTTCAAAGTGAGGTTGGTAGAGGTGAGGGAATTTGAGGTTTGAGCAATGTGAAACTCGGCAAACACTCACTGAGTTGTCTGACCTTTTGTAAAATCATGTCCTGGTTTTTGGAGTAAAAATTTAACCAGGTGTTAGGAGAGTTGAGTGGGGAGTGTAACCACAGTGCCGTGTGATGTGCCCCAGGCCTCAGGCACGAGCACTGGGCAGTGCGGTCACTGTCCAAGCTGCCCACGGCTCACTGTAAGTCAGGATGGCCAGGCAGGGGGCTTGAGTGAAGGCTGTTAATTTTCTGAATTAAAAGAAAGGGAATGAGTTTCTCCAGAAGCGGGCTTGGATTCCTGGTGGGGTTGCTTTCGCTTTGCTTTAAAACGCCCCAGTTAGTGGACAAGTCCCTTAAATCTGATTGAACAATTCAAGCAGAAGGGAGCGAGCCGGGACTTCTCTGCAGGTCGGGTCACCTGGGCGCATGAGAAGCTCTCCCTGCTTTGATTTGGACTGGCAAAGACCTGGCAGGGCACTGGACCCTCCGTGTGGCCTGTTTGCCTTAGGGCAGGCGCGGGGCTGAGGGGAACCCAGGCCACCAGTCCCACCAGTCTACCAGAGAGCAGAGCAGCAGGAAGACGGGGCTGTCAGAACGCAGCTGCCTAACCGGTAGTCATCTTCTTTTGTTTTCTTGGCCTCCTAGGTTGGGCATACTGGCCCATCTCTGAAAAAGAAGCCAGGTTATGGCTAAACCCCAAGCAGGCCTTTTCTTGCTTTCAAACAAAACTGGAGAACCCAGGTCAGCCCAGTGCCCCTAAAAGACTTTCACAGGCTCATAAAGCAGTGAAATGGGTGGAAGGGGGAACAGGCTTGAGAGACCTGTTCTAACCTCCCATTGCCTTGTACATAGCCCATTGCAGTCCAGAGGGTTCTAGAATTCCACCACACCCAGCACCTCTCTGACAAGGCTCTGGGAGCTGGCTGCAGACTAGGAGTCGACTCCACTGGCCTCCTTTCTATTTAGCACCACTCTGCTGGGTGGAACTGGTCCCTCCCCTCCAGCAGTCTGAGGCTGAGGGTTTCTATCCTGGGGATTTAGCTTTGTAATAGGAGGTAGTCTTCCTATTCATCCCCAAGGGAAGACGCAGAGGAAGGTGGGTGCCATCACTTGGCTACGTGGCCACACACTTTAGTGAGACAGTTGCACCTGTGTGGGGCACTGGATCCTCTCCACAGGCTCTGGGTGGAAGGGTGAATTGGCAGAGCCACTTTGAAGGATAACTTTGGGCAGAATCCATTAAAATCCAAAAATGCACATGGGTTGACCCAGTGACTTCACTTTTCAGTACTTATTCCCAAATGTGCACAGGGAGACATGGGCAAGGATGCTCCCTGGAGCAAGTGATAAAGAGCCCCTGCTATATCCATCAAAGGGGAACTGCTAAATAAACCATGCCAGTTTCATATTATGGATTATGCAGCAGGTTAAAAAAAAGCAGTCGCTCTATAGCTATCTACCTGCACTAACTTAGTTCTCCATGACATAGCTCTGAATGGAAAGTAAGCAGGTTATAGAATGATACATACAAGATGATACCTATTTATGAAAAACAAAACAGAAACCTGTATCTCTATTTAATATAAAGAAAACGTCTAGGGAGACAGACACTTCAGACTGGTATCTCCTCTGGGAGGAGAGGGGACTGGGAGTGAGGTAATGAGCAGAAATAAAAGGAAACTTGTCTATAATGTTAACACATTTTTCAAACAAACAAACAAAAAGCCTTACTAATGTAGTATACACAAAACCAAACTTTTAAAAGTGTACTCCTTTTCACAGGTTATTTTTGGTACAGATAGATAAACTGTTTCCCAAACTTGCCTGAAGATAGGCATGGCCTGGAATCTTTGTTTAAAAAAGCAGATTCCTAGCCCCAATAATTTGTATATTTAATAAGCAACTTGGGTGATTCTTATGAGTAAAGTTTAGGAAATGTTAAGCTAGAGCCAGCCCTCTGGCCCACCAATCAAAAGCTAAACCTCCAGATATTACTCTGGAATTTCAATTTTCCCAGGTATTTCTCAGCCCTATTCATTAAAGTGAAGCAAGAAGTCAGTGTTAAATGCAGCTCTCTCTTGCTTTCTTCCCTGCGGATAAACTGGAGTGAGATGATCCCACAGGCATTGGTCCATCTCCAGGATCTGAGACGTGGAGGTAATGGCATCCTCTGTGCAATCTTGTGGGCTGGCCCAGATTGAGCAACACTCCTGAGCAGGGGGAGGCAAGACCCTGCCCTGCCCCACGAGGGAGGCCCAGGCCCACGCTGATCCTGGCTGTGAACATGTGCAAGGCAATCTGTTTAGAAGCACAGACTCTTTCAAGCCAAGACTACCTGGCTCTCAGCAAACTCTCCAGGAAGATCACTCCAGGGAGGGCTGGCAGGACTGTGGAGAAGAGACACTGCTGAAATGCACAGGCACCCCTGCTAAAATCACTCAAACTTGCTAAAAAGGAGGGACACAAGGAGAAGCAGTCGCCACCTT